CCCGAGCCGAGGACATACCTTTCTTAAGTCACTTTCAGACACTGTCATATACTATCACCTCCCTGTGAGCCAAGAGTGCCCTGTCAATCCCCGATGGCTACATGCTCAGTGAGGGCTTCATCAGCGAGTCACTCACATGTAACTTTTATAATTAAAGGTCTGTAGTGGATAATCTGACAAGAGTAACTCGTATCAGACTAATGCTCCTGTCAATAACAATTAAAAATGATGGACAAAATACTTAAAACCACCACTTGGAGCCACGCTCAAGGGGAAGCAAATTAGGCTCCATCTTTTGAAAGAAAAAGAGTCAATGACTGCAACTTATTTTAAAATCTCTATCGTGTTCAAGAACCTCGTAGCTTTTAAAAGCGTGTGCTACCAGGGAGGAGAGTGGGGGAGTGGGGAGGGGGCGAGGGGCACACACCAAGGCACAGTTTCTCAATCAGCGTCGCCAGCTGGTGGTCCGTGAGGCCCGAAAGGTTGGCGACCACTGTTCTAAATGACAAGCTACTTCTCAGATGAATGACGTTAAGACTTCAAAACTTAGAAAAACGGAACGGCTTGGAGAATTTTCCCTTGATCCACAGAGTCCACAGAACTCGTGTTTTGTTTTTAAAATGTCCTCATACACAGCAGGGACAGCAAGAGGAAGAGACCCACTCCCAGAGCCATTTTCCAACTAAAGCACTTCCAGGGAGATACTGGTTTTCCTGCTGTTATAATACTGATAAGGCCTATGTGTAACAATAAAAACATATTTTAAGAGTAAGACCCTCCACCCTTCTCCACCATCTTTTGAATCATCCAAGGGGGTGGGGGAGACAAGAGGTTGTAATCTCAGAGCAGAAACACAGACATGCTTCCTACATCTTTCAAGAGCATCAGATGGTTTCGTGTCACTTAAGCACTGTGAGAAAACAAGAACATTATGAAAACACACTGGGAAACAGATACCAGGGTGCAGCCTCTTGTGGCTTCTTTGGACGAGGCCAAAGCCCTTGGCCGGGAACCGCGCGGATTCCACGGAGCCTGTCTCATGGAAAGATCTGCCGGGCCGCTGTTTTACTCATCCAGCTATTTTGTAAGAATTAAATGTCCTAGTGCTGCCCACACAAGCTGACCAAACCCCGGGTGTGTTACAGTCGTTGGTGACAGCAGAAACCGCCAGGTTCCAGCAGTCCGTGAGATCTGAGTCTGTCCCCACATTTCCACACCTCCCAAAGTCGTCCCATGGATTACACTGCTGGGAGGTTACACTGGATCAATGCAGTGCAGGGATAATCACGATCCGTGAATATTTAAGCCGTTCACGGAGAGCTCCTCAGGAAGCCATCCAGCCAACAAGTAGCAATTCGTTCCCCACGTGGTGAGCCCCGCCCGGTGTCAGGTAGAAGGTGGGCACCGAGCACCTGCAAACAGCAAAGGTGGAGCCAGCGAGGCCCTGGTTGCATCACCTGCTCGGTGTGGCACCTGCATACGTTAGTCTGGCTCTTTAAGCTTCAACCTCGACATCGATAAAATGGAGCTGATGGAGACCTACCTCACAGGCTTGTCTGGCTTAGCTCAGCAGAGCATCAACCCCCAGCCAGTGCCATGTCCTCCGAGAGGTCCTCCTGAGGACCCTCTTCAAGCTCCATCAGCTCCCTGTCACACCCCTGTGCCCTGGGAGCTTTCCTTCGCGCACTTCCCAGGCCCTCACCGTGACACCTTCTGTGGAGGACCTGACTCACACCTCTCCCTCCCTCAAGGCTGTACAATCATGGAGACAGCGATCCGGTCTGATTGTCCACCACACCCTCACCCAGAACAGTAGCCGTGCTCAATAAACATCCGCTGAACAAACTAATAAGCTACATTGACAAACACACAAAGTACAAAGATGAAGGACACGGGACAGTCCTCACCAGGGAGCTGACAGACCAGCTGCACATTCCAGTCACCAGGGAGGAGTTTCATTTTCATCCCCATACTGGGGGCCCCGCTGCGGAACAGCTCTAGGCGCGTGGGCCTGAGGGACCCCGGCTTCTGTGTGTTCAGAGCTCTCCAGGCGATGCTAAAGGACAGCCAGAGCTGAGACTCCCTGGTCTCATGCAGGAGAGACTGGGCCACAGTTACAGTACAATGGGATGCATGTTCTGCAGCAGCAAGACCTGCGTGTGGGGGTGGAGATGCCTGTGTCTGCACGCCCCAGTGCCGCAGGGCTGGGCACAGGTGACTGCTGAGCACAGAAGGTGGCCACTGAGACCGAGGACCTGCATTTTAAATTATGATTGTAATGGATTTAATTTTAAAAAGCCATATGTGGCTAGAAGCTAATTTACTAGCTAGTACAGACCTAGGATGAAGGACACAGAGGTAATCCAGGTAAGGGCGGAGGGGGTGGTGGTCAAAGCTCACTTCACTGTGGCCCCAACCACAAGGAGAAAGGCAACCGGACTGCACACGCCCTGCACTCTCCACCCGCACAGCCAGGGACGAGCTCCGCTCCTGCAGCCAGGGCAGCGGTGGCCAAGGAAACGCTTTAAAGCAAGAGCACAGCCCTGAGCAAAAGAGCCTGCGTGAGCCGCTGACTGATGTGGCAACGGGAGGAAGTGTGTCTTCAGCAAGGACACTTGGGAAAAAGGAGTCGCGTGGAGCTCCAAGCACTCAACATGGCAGCACCGCCCAGCTGCACATCAGGGCTCCCTTCCTCCCGGCTCACAAGCTGAGCGCCCGGAGCACAAACGGGAACATTACGGAGAAGTGACACTTATTCCTGAGGCAGATAATGGCTCATTAAGCTCTTTAGAACATGAGAGTGGCCCACGCCATTTGTGGAACGTCTGAATTAATCAGAGGGGACCATGCTACTGCTTCCGCTGCCAGTCCCCCATCACCAGGTGCTAATAAGCACCTACTATGCAGCAGGCAGTTCGTCAGAGGCCTTAAACACCACCTCATTTTGCCCGGATAATATTCTGCAAGTCAGTTATTATTTTCTCACTTTGTGGTGAGGCAGTTTAAGATTTAGAGAAGTTAATAATTTACTTGACTTTAACAAGTGGTGACAAAGCAAGGATTCAAACTCAGGTCTACACTGCCTTAGGTTCTTTTCTTTTTTTTATAAAGGCTGTACAGCATTCTGTTTATAATATACTTGTGTATTTAGCACCCCCCCCCCGTTTATTTTCTGTCTTTCCAAATGCTTCGATGAACCAACTTGTACATAAATTTTAAATATACTCTTAGTAGTGCATAACAGACATACATACATATGAAAAGGTATATAAATCCTAAGTGCAGCATTTGATAAATGATCAAAAAGTAGACATAACCATGTAATCACCCCCAAATCAAGAAACAGAACCATGCCAGCACCTCAGAGGCCCCTGTGCTGCCTCCTCCCGGACAGCGGGTACCTCTGAGGCCTGCCACCCCGTGGGAGTCACACAGTGCAGCGAAGACAGGAGGTATAAACTGGGTGTGTAATTCGGGCCAAGCCTTAAAACAACACTTGGTCACTACGTAAGGAGACAACTGTCATTTACTACCTTAATTAGAAGTTAGTGTTTTATTGGACATAAGAAATTAGAGGTACCAAGGAACCAGGTGTGAAAAGTGTGAACAGGAAGATTATAGAGCGTCACAGGCCCCAGGGCTCTCAGGGCCAGAGACGAGGCTTCCCGTTCAGGAGGCGGGGTTCCCAGCCCGAAGGAGAGCAGGGCCGGAAAGCAGCCAGGGCCGAGTTCTGCCTCGTTCCATGTTCCTTCCAGCACTATAATCTCATGATGATCATGAATATGGTATAAATAAAATATAAAATGTATATGAAATATAAGTGTATGGCACATATTGCACTCCCATGAGGTGGCCGGCATTTGCAGATATGAGCTCATTAAGTCCCTTCAACAACCTTGTAATAATGCCGCGATCCCCGTGTTATGGGGAGAAAATGGATGTTCAAAAAGTGCAGTGACCGCATGGGGCAGGGAGAGGATGCCAAGCTCCCTATGCCCCCCTTCAAGCCGGTGCCCTTCCCACCAGACCCTGCTGCCCTCCCTTCAGGTTCTGTTATGTTACAGAGAAGAGATTTCGTAGGAAACCTGCCCTCTGGGTCTGCAAGCTGGCACTGCAATAATGACAAGAGATGTGAGGGAAGAGACCTGGAAACTCATTTTCTGTTCCTAGCCTCTCCTTCCCTGGGGCTCTGGGACCTACCATTCACTTCCCTGGTTCCCCGCAGCTTATCTTAATTTGGTTTCCTTCTTAGCCACTGACAACACGCTTTTATCTTCAAGGTGACAGAGTCACTGGCCCAGAGTGAAAACATTTGGCTACAAAGGTTACCTGGCATGCCCTCGGCCACAGGCAGGAGTAGCCAGAGGTGCGTCCAGGGCTCCATCTAATGTCCCCCCTCACCCCCTGCCCCTCTCTGACTTTCACTGATTTTCTCCCATCCAAGCACTAATCAGGCCTGACCCTGCTTAGCTTCCAAGATCAGGCGAGATCGGATGCATCCAGGGTAGCATGGCCGTGGACTTTCACTGATTGTCAAATGTGGAAGGCAACCTCCAGAGAGGAAGAGCCTCGTGTGTGTAACTGAGGCCACTGGTTTACAGACTGACACAGAGATTTTAAATATCTCCTATGTCACTTGTGGCAAAATTACCTATGATTTCACTAAGTATTTAACAAATGTTTTATTACAGTTGACAGTCACCATCACACTACTTTCAGGCACACAGGAGGGTGGTCAGACGTTTATACAACTTCTGAAGTGATCCACCATCTACTAAGTTTTAAATGTTTATATCACCCACTGCAACGCATGTTTTACTTTTTACTTTGGAAACAGTAGCAGGGTTGGGCTGAGAAAAAAAAGAGAGAAACTGCACTTCTTTAACCTACTGCTTTTTCCATTTGGAGCAAGTCTTCCATAACCTCAGTATCTTACCAACAACAGAGAAAACTGCAGACACTGCCTATAATTCATGTTATCTGCTCTGACGAGTACTTACCTTGACCAGAATTATAGATTGCTTTCACAGACTTCTTCACCTTCTGCAAAGCTGTTCTATCTTGGTCTAGCGCCTGAAAGAGAAAACACAGGGGAAAAAGATGTTGAAAACGTGGTGAGTTCAAAAATAAAACCTCATTCGTAACTACATTTGTTTTGCCGAGTACCATAGCAACAGCAAGCTGACGTATTTATTAACAATGAAGCATTTTAAATGCACGGTCCTTCCACAAAGCTCAGTGTCGAGGGCGGTGGATAATGCGGCGGCTGGTCGGTTATCACTCCAAGCCCAGCTCAGGAGAGAAAACACACGGCACCTAAGAAACCGTAACACCCGCCCGCCTCCTCCCGAGAATTTCCAGCATTTCCAGCCCGGATGGGAGAAAAGCAAGCTTAACAAATGAATGACTTAGACCCAACAAAACACATCTTATCACCTGATGGTCACTTCAGCCAGAAAGAAAATACTCAGAGTTTGTTAACAGGAGTGCCCCGAGAGCTTTTCACCGCACTTTAAACTTGAGGATCTCTTAGTGCTAAAACAAGCTTAAGGTATAATACCTGTTTGTTTGTTTTAAAATTCTGTTTACTAAAAAAGCACAGCACGGGGAATGCCTTTGAGTGGTTTCTCACAGGATGAATCCAGACATCAGTCCACCGCACTGTGAGATGAGGAGGCAGAGGCTGAGGAAGTCTAACTGGCCGTGTGGCGGAGCTGGGATGACCCTGAACCTGATCTAGCCACGACCTGGTCCTGCGTGCCCACAGCATCTGCAACACACAGGCACTAAGGGAGTCTCGTCTGAAGGGGGGACTACCACCAGCTTAAAGAGACGAGTCCAGGTTAGAAAATGACAAGACATGTAGGTTGCAGGAGTGTGTGAGGGAAAGAGAGAAATGCAACTACGCGCAGGTTTAAGCGATGGCAAGGTCATTTACAAAGCAATCCTCGCCCGCCCGGTGTGGCTCATTGGTTGAGCATCGACCTACGAACCAGGAGGTCACAGTTCAATTCATGGTCAGAGCATATGCTTGGGTTGTGGGCTCGATCCTCAGTGTGGGGCGTGCAGGAGGCAGCCGATCAATGATGTTTCTATCTCTCTCTTCCTTTCCCTTCCTCTCTGAAATAAATAAAATCAATTAAAAAAAATAATCCTAATGGTCACCATTTATTTTTTATAGATGTGTTATTGCCATTTTTTTTTTTTTTTTAAATGAAAGCCCGGGCCTTAGAGAAGTGAAACAGCCTGCCACGGGTCACACCAAGTCAGAGAACCAGTCCCCGCCCTGCCACTTCAACCAGGGTTCCAGAAGCCTCGCCCATATTTCCCCTGGCGCTTACCCCCTCAGCTCCTTTTGAGAGAGGAAACAAGGTCTGCTCAGGAAGAGAATAACCATCCGTTCAGCTCCTGGGTCTAAGGGGAGCTCATGAGTGGGCATCGATGCCCATGCACACTTAGCCAAGGGCTGTGGAAGATTTCAGCCGTGACCTTCTAGGAGACCAGCTATCCGCTACCCTTCTATTTCCCCTGGGAAAAGCCCCAGAATTTATGCTGAATTTTTACCAACTCATCTATAAACTCATAGGGTATCAAGTTCGCTCTTTCTTTCTTTCTTTCTTTCTTTCTTTCTTTCTTTCTTTCTTTCTTTCTTTTATTTTTTAACAGAGAGTGGAAGAGAGAGAGGGAAAGACAGAGAGAAACATCGATGTCAGAGAAACACATGACTTGGTTGGTTCCTGCATGCACCCCGACCAGGGCCTGGACTAGGGAGAAGCCTGCAACCAAGGTACCTTCCCTTGACCGGAATCGAACCAGGGACCCTTTGGTCATCAGGCCAACGCTCTATCCACTGAGCCAAACAGGCTAGGGCCGCACTGACTTTTAAAAGTTATTAAAAGCATCCGAGTTTGACAGCTCCATCACAGTTAAGTGCGGGTGACAAGTCCCTTTTCACACTCCGGTATTTGGTCCCTGGCAGAAGCAGCCAAGGAAAAGGCACTTGTAAGGGCTGAGATTTAAGAGCGCCCAGGGACACTGTCGCTCAATCACTCAGGACAACGCCTTCCAGAAACAACATGCCTAAATGTGCAACCAAGCGGCATTCCTTCCTGCAGGGCCAGCAAATGTCACCTTAAATAGCAGCTGAGAAAAGTGGTGGGTAACAGGGGCTGTAACATTAGCAGATCTCTCAGCCCATCCCAGGTGTGTCACCCCTGCCTGCATTTCTGAGCAAAAATCTGAAGATGAAGAACTCAAAAGGGTGAGAGAGAGGAAGAGGAAGAGGAAGAGGAAGAATAAATTAACAATCTCCAGGAGCATATGCTCAGCTCTAATAACAGAATAACACTATCCCTATTTAAAACCTTGCCATACAGCAATGTCACCTTCTCTCCTGACTAAAGAGCAGGGGAGTTAACCTAGGAGGGCTCTTCCAACTTTGACATGGAGACTTCTGACCTTTTTTTAAAAAAACTTGATTTTAGAGAGAGAGGACGAGAGAGATCTCGATCGGCTGTCTCCCTTACACACCCCGACCAGGGCTTGAAGCTGCAACCTGGATGTATGGGACAATGTCTCAACCAACTGAGTCACCCGGCCAGGGCAGACTTCTAGCTTTTATTTCATGCAGAGACCTCACAAGTTTGGTCATCTGAACACACAAAGACGACACAGGCTGTTGGGAGAGAGGGTACCAGAAAAACCACCTGGACAGAAGCATGATGTGAGAGCTGGCAACTAGAAGGATGCAGGAAAAGGATAAAAAAGGGAGAGGAGAGAGGGGAGAGGAGAGGGGGAGAGGGAGAGAGAAGGGGGGAGAGGGAGAGGGAGAGAGAGAGAGGCAGACACCAGGATGAAAAATTCCTTCAGATCCGAGACTACGACATTGTTAGAGACCCACTGGAGCCCCACCGCTTGCTCCCACCCAGGGCATTTGCACTCGCTGACTGCTCTGCCCGGAGCTCTCCCCTCAGCCATTCTGATGCCAGGCTCTGTCTTCTCACGCAGCCTCAGATGCACAGCCCCTCCTCCAAGAGGCCTTCTGGTCGCCCTGGAGCATCTGTACATTGCTCAACAGCATGGACAACATTTATACATCAGTCAGTTTTGTGCCTTAGGACTGGTATTCAACAACTGCTTAAGAACACTTATTGAGACATAATCGTATACTAAAGAGGCAGTGGCGATCCTATTGTTGCTCTTCATTAAGATGTTCAATGTTGGAATTACCAAGTCTATGGCACCTCCTTTTCAATATACTCAAGTGGAAAAGCTGCTCTTATTCTGGGTAGGTGTGATTTTTTAAAATAAGCATGAACGCTAGGAGCTAGAGCTTATGCGTATACGTAGAGAAAGGAAACAATGGGTGACGATAAAATAACATGGCAGGGTTTCTCAGATACACGCCGAGGTGGACAGGCATCTCACCTACCCTCCAGGGTGCTGAGCATTCAATGTGTCAATGGACCTGGAGGAGGCTGACAGGAAGCCTTGCGCAGAGCAGGTGCTCAAAACCTGCTGGCTAGAGTTACCCTCCCTCTGAAGGGGCTCCTGAGAGAGGAACCCTAAAACCCATGCAGCAGTCACAGCAAACATCTCCGGAACAAGTACTCCTGCCAGCAAAGGGATTTCTTCAATGAGAAAAATTTTCACTCACTTAGGAAAAAAGGGAGCGTTTCTATTTTATTACTTTACTAGAGGCCCGGTGCACAAAATTCGAGCGGGGGGGGGGGGGGGGGCGGGGAACCTTAGCCCGGTCTGCACCCTCTTGAAATCCGGGACCGCTGGCTCCTACCTAACCGCTCGCCTACCTGCCTGCCTGATCACCCCTAACTGCTCGCCTGCCTTCCTGATTGCTCCTAACCATTCTGCCTGCCTGCCTGCTCACCTCTAACTGCTCGCCTGCCTGCCTGATCACCCCTAACTGCCTCTGTCTCGGCCCCCGCTGCCACAGCTTCGTCCGGAAGGTCGTCCGGCTGTCTGGTCTAATTAAGCATATTACGCTTTTATTATTATAGATAGTTGCACTCAGAGAGGTAAGCTCGAAATTTTGAAACTTAAAAAGCTGCATTTGTCCCCAAGTCACCACAAAGCAAATGCTCACCTCTGTGTGATTCTCTTAAAGGGGAAAGGAGGGGCAGAGAACTTTGGCCTCATTTTGGTTCAGACACTGGCTGCTTCGGCCTTTGACTTGTTGGGCAGTCATGCTACCTGGTGATTGGAGCGGTTAGGTGCCTAATTCACATTCTCTAAGCGGGAGACAGAGACATGTTCCCACGCAGCCTCACAGCCAAATAAATAAATAATTTATCTATCGTAAGGCCCCACACACAACAATATGTAAGTCTATAACTATAATGTAAATCAGAAATTAGCCCAGAGAATAATCCAATGTGATAAGGAAGAGCATTGTGAATAAAGGTGCCAGAAGAGAGAATGAGAGGGAAATATGACCACTACCTCAACAAAGAGGAGAGGAGGGCTTGGGCTAACCATGCAAGTACTTGCTCTGAGGATCAGCAAACTTGGTTTTTGTATCATTCGCTTGCTTACTCATATTAGCAGCTGTGCCTGGCATATACAGAACACGGCCCTGCCAGGCACGGGCCTAAGTGTGCACACCAAACACTGCATCTGCCTCTGCTTCCCCAGCTGCATGGCCCCCTCCACCTGCTGCAGCAAAACAACAAGAAAACCTTCACTGGAATACTAAGTGGGAGGCCTGCATGGCTCTTGATAAGATCGATGAAAGGAGAAGTTATTCATAAAATATTAATCCTTGCTCGCCCGGGGCTCTGTCCACACTTGCCGTATCTTTTAGGTCTCCGTACCTCTGTCTCTTCCCCATTCAATAAACTAGAAGCTCTCAAAGGATAATACTATGTGTGCTTCTTTCTTTGCATAGAAGATGCTCAGTAAGAATTTGCTGAATTGAATGAAAGGAACACACACACACATGAGGAAGAAAGGGTGAATGGACTCATTGTTACTAGAATAAAATCCAGGTCCTCACTGCTGCCTGCCAGGCCCCCTGGGGTCCAGCCCGCTGCCCTCTGCCCTCTGTTCCCACACTC